AATGATCTTGTTCACCAATATCACCTTGAACCAGAGGTAATACTTCATTCACTCTAGCTTTCACTTTCTGTAATATATCTAGTATCATTTAAAAGCTTATAATAGCTCCTCTCAAATCCGTCATCCTTTCTTCACTCTTCTTGTACAAGCTGGCTTGCTCCCACCGTGTTTTAGCTTTAAGCTTATGCTAAATTGAACTGTTTATTTTTCGCTATAGCTTCTCACTTCTCACTTGCTTGAATAAGCTTATAATAGGTTATGGTTAACACCTTGAATTGTTTATAGTGTGCTATTTAACTTATCATGCATTTGATCTATTTCAAATCAGGTGGCTTTTCTAATATATCGACCGGTGCTGAGGCTCTTCAAATCTACCACCAGTCCCGAAGTCTTATGGCCCCTTGATGCCATGGAAGATACACTCATGGCGAGTGAAGGAAATGATTTTGAGCAATCTTCTAGCAACCTTGTTTTGGATCTGGGTATTTCCAAAAATCCTATAATGTGCGTTCTCTTGCACAATGATATTTTTGTTTTCGCCTGTTTTATGGGACTACTGGAGCTCTTATGCCTGTTGATTTTCTTATCATCTAAGTTCAACTATCCTTTTGTTTTTTGCAGGTGGTCAGATCTCCTGGAAGTAGTTAGATCAATGCTACCTGTAAAAGCTTGGAATAGCCTCTCCCCTGACCTCTATGCCACATTTTGGGGGCTCACCCTTTATGATCTTTATGTTCCAAGAAATCGATATGAAGCAGAAATAGCGAAGCAGCATGCTGCCATTAAAGCATTAGAAGAGCTTTCTGATAATTCGAACATCGCTATTCTCGATAGACTTGTCAGGGAGCTTCAAAAGCACGAACAACATGTTACGTCCGTGCGCCATAGGCTTAGACGTGAAAAGGACAAGTGGTTGAGTTCTTGTCCCGACACATTAAAAATTAATATGGAGTTTCTTCAGCGATGCATTTTTCCGCGCTGCATCTTTAGCATGCCTGATGCTGTTTATTGTGCTAAATTTGTGCACATGCTACATTCGCTTGGAACACCATTCTTCAACACGGTCAATCATATTGATGTTCTTATTTGTAAGACATTACAGCCCATGATCTTCTGCTGCACTGAGTATGAAGCTGGCAGACTGGGAAGGTTCTTATATGAGACCCTTAAAATGGCATACTATTGGAAGGTTGTTGAGTAATTAAAATTAAACCATAATTATTTTTTTTAAAATAAATTATTTTTTTATTCACCATTTATTTAGAAGCTTCTGTTTTGCAGAATGATGAATCTATTTATGAACATGAATGTGGAAACATGCCAGGTTTTGCTGTTTATTACAGATATCCCAATAGTCAGCGTGTGGCATATGGTCAATTTATTCGAGTACGTCTTTACCACCGAAAAGTTCTTGAATATCTAATTTCAGTGCTTCTGCTATGAACATTATTTTAAGTTCATTATTTTCGCTCAACACTTTGTAACTACCTTCCAAGTACATGATGCCAATCTTGACTTTGTATTGATGCTTTTTTTCCCTTTTGTTATCAAAACACTGAAATGAACTACTTTTTAATTGAGTAAAGTGTGAATATAGTCCCCAGACTAATGAGGTCATTTTGATCTCAGAGTTTATGAAAGTGCTAAATAAGTCCCAAACTATTTTAATGTGAGTAAAAATAATCCTTATCGGGGATTATTTCAACCCATTTAAAAAAAAAATAGAACTAAATTGGCACTTTTTATGAACTTTGGGCCTAATATTGCCGCCTGTAAAGAATTGGGACACTTTTCTTTTTTTTAATAATTAAAAAAACTTTGTATTTATGGGTGTCTCCATTGTTTTTCTATGCCTTAAACAGTCCGAGTGAGTGACTATGTGCAGTTATCTATTCTCAGGAAAGAACCTGGTTGAAAAGGAATAAAATGTTTTGCGTAATTATCTTTTTTGGCCGCATCATATTTGATATATGATCTAAGTAGCAATTATTATCTTTTTCATTTTAGGCAGTTCCTTCTTTTCATAGAATTCTCTTTTTAGTTGTATTTCTGTCATCCATTATATTTCTGTCATCCTTTAGTATTTTGGTTCCAACTTTTTTGTTTTTGTAAGCTTGTTTGGAAACAGTTTTTTTTTATATAAATACGTTGGTTTAGATGTAATCCACTTTTTTATAGGTGCATTGGAAATGGAGTGGAAGGATGACAAGGTTACTGGCACAATGTTTGGAGTCCACTGAGTACATGGAAATTCGCAACGCTCTTATTATTTTGACAAAAATTTCTACAGTATTTCCTGTGACGAGGAAAAGTGGTGTTAATATTGAAAAACGGGTATACAGTGGAAATAGCTTTTGAAAACTGTATTGTTTGTATCAATTTTTCTATTGTCTGATTCCATAAAACATTTTTTTCTCAGGTGGTTAAAATTAAGAGCGACGAAAGGGAGGATCTTAAGGTGTTGGCTACTGGTGTGGCTGCAGCTTTGGCTGCTCGGAAGGTCTGTTAAAACTTAAAAAAGATCATTTGCAAGTTATCCAACTTTCATCATCCATTCCAACTTTTATGCATTCTCGTTTGTCAAGTTATTTCTTCCCTACTATGATATTCATAGAGAAATTTGTGATTCCAATGCTTACTCATCAATAAATAATACGAAGGCAACAAGTTTTATTAAAAATTAACTTTTGCCATAAAGAGTATCCGTAATCCTGCCTGTTCATTTTTAAGGAGTGCATCTTCTAAGATATATTATTGTTAATGTTGAGGGATTCTAATCATTGACTTGTTATTGTGATGTTATGTTATTATCAGATTCTAGCTTTTTGGTTTGTTAATAATATTAAAATAACAGATTCCTGAATAAATTTTGCTTTTTTTCTTTTGGATCAAATGTCTAAAAGTCAAACTTTTTAATGATCACATGAAATAAAAAACCAAAATAATAAAAAATTCAACCAGACAATCCCATTGTTTTTGGGAGACCTAAGTCTTTTCATCGTTGAATAATCCTATTGAATGGATCAAAATCAGAAGAGGTAGGCACTGTTAAGTTGGCTGAATTCCTCTTATTTGCCATCTAGCAGCAATATAACCATTTGAGGAATGGCCCCCTCCATAGCGCCTGTGCCAGCTTACTGGTAATCATCAGGTCTCTAAGGTGCTATGCTGAATATGCTGAGGAAACCTCTTTGTTAATGATTTCTTACTGATATTTTTTATTTGGTCTCTTATGGTTAGTAATTTTGATTAAGATTAGACATCAAAATGTTTGGATTTTGCTGACCAAGACAATATCATGTATCACTACACACATATGGGAACCACGATCAAGATCATTTCTACAGATATTTGAATGCCAGGCTCATCATTTCATTGATGTCAGTATTAAATGGGTAAACCATTATGGTTAATTTTGGGTAAATTAGCTTTTTTTATCTTTAAGCCTTGATGTCTACTTTTCTGAGATTTATGTATTTTTTATTGTTAATTATTTTGCTAGATCCTTTTTGTTTGATTATTTAAGCAGAGATGCTTCTCACCACTAGTAGAACCTGTTTGAGATGTGTGTTTCAATCCGATATCCATTCTTAGCTATCTTACTACTGATAAAAGAAAAGTGATAATATGGTCCTCTGACATTTTGCTGTCGGCCATTTTAATTCCAGAGTTTATAAGTGTCAATTTTATTTCTAGAGTCTTTTAACATGATTTTAAATAGTCCTTGATGATGATTATTTTAGCTCCCGTTAAAAAGGTTTGGGGACTAATTTAGCACTAGTAATTAAATTCTATGAAGTGAGATTTTTCCTCCACAGCTCCGTATTGATACAGTATTGCAGGAGCAATTTTACGATCTTGACTACAGTAATGTAGGCATAAAAAGCTGCGGGAGCCGATCCCACAATTTCTCTCATCTGGACCAAACCAGTGTTCAATCTAGACCCAAAGGGGCCGACCGGCTCTCCCACTGTGGTTTTGCGCCTCCTTTCTATAGCGGGATCCAATCTTAAGTATCTAAAGCTTATTTATGTGATTCTTTTGTTTGAGGTTTTCAAGTTTATGTATTTTGTTTAGGATAGCTGCTGGCGTCCGCTATTTCTCCTTTTAGTAGTTGTATCCGAGAGATTGGGTGTTGCTCTAGCCGTATCTCTCTCCTGAAGTGATGATTATCTTCCCCTATCCCTTCCGCATCCTCCCACATTACTCCCAACTTCTCTGTCCCTGCTGCAGCCGCTCGTAACAACAGTCCTGATGTTCTTCCTGTAGTTTTCAAGCCACTGACAGCTGCTTTCTGCTTGTTGCCACCATCCAGGTCAGCAAGGAGTTGTTGTTCCTGCCTTTTCTTGGCTTCCCCGCCCGCTGCTCCCCTCTCGATGCTCCGCCACCTCCATAACCTGCGCCCTACCCCTTTCCACGTGCTGCCACCTTCCAGAATTTGCCTCCCTCACTGCCACAACCATTTCAGCCGCCCGAACCACACTCCACCACTACCTAGCTGCTCTCCCAACCATTCCCCGTGCTGTCGTTGCTGTTCTGGCAGCCTAAATCGGTCCCCTA